TTTTTTTTTTAGATAAAATCTGAGAATTATTCTCAACATAAAAATAATCAGAATAAAACATCTAAACAAAAAGTTTTTTTTTTCATTCTTTTTTAGTGTAATATAACAAAGCCCATGGCAACATTTTAGCAACATCCACTTATGCATGTGTGTAACAGTGTTCATAAAAAAACTTTTAATAGAAAATTATATTCTGATTTACTCCCCTGGATGCTAAGACGTGCATCTTTAGATCTGTAAATATCAACTTTCCAGTTCCATCAGAAATATACAAGTCTTTAAAAAAGAAGTTTTTTGGGGCTAATTTAGTGGATCAACTACTCTGCAACTGGTTACCAATTTATGATGAACTAAAATATCTGCTCTTTCATCACATAAGACAATAATGACTAGTGACTCTGTAGTGTAATGTTCTCATCAATCAAACAAGATAAAACACCAAGTATGTCAGTTGCAGTATTGTAACTGCAGTATGAGACTGCACTGCTGCACTTCAGCTGACCTATATCTGGAACTTCTACAGCTTGGAGAAAGTTCATTAAAGAATTGTACTTGGAAAGTTGTCGTGTCTGACATAGATATCTTTTGAAGTCAAAAGTGGAATACACTCCTTGGCCATCCAAACCACTGCTTTCATCGCTGTCATGATGGCCTTCTCTTGTTCAGGGCTTTGGTAGATGTCGTGGTAATGTACTCCTGTTTTCTTTGGTAACTGTTAAAATAAGCATTGCAATTCAGTAATGCTGCCTACTACTTTATTAATTACATAATATATATACTTAGAAACTTAAAAATTCACTAATCATGTTGTCCATAATAACAATCAGTGATACTCAAACTAAAATGACTGAAATGCAATCCCATTACTTTGCATAATAATTTCAATATCATACAGTACATTAACTTGGCAATAAACTACCAGATTTTATTCAAAACAATACAAATAGAAATGGAAGGCATAATTAGTTTTAATTGACTGCTTATCCCACCAAAAACGTAGTACATTGCTCAAGGTCAAATACAAAATAAACTCAAAATAATTTCTCCAGTGTACGCATGCGAACATCTTTAAGTAGGCTGCAAACGCGCAAACACTTAATCATTCGTTTTTTAATTGACTTTGAATCAGAATTAATTTATTTAAGTTACCTGGATAGCGCACACATGGTCGGTCATTCCAACGTGGTGAGCGTACTGGTGCGAAAGTTGGACGATACCCCCAGGGCCAGGGCCATGGTATTACGTTTGCCAGCCTTTTTGCATGGTGCACACCACATGGTTGATTTTTCCTTGTCGAAGCGCAACCACAGGAATATCTGCAGCCAACTTTGCTGAAACTTCCTAACAGAAGTTAGTAGAGGCTCCCTATCTGGTTCATTACCACTAGTATGTCCACTTTCTGGTGCATTACCACCAGTATGTCTTGTATACCAAAAAAAAAAAAAAAAACGAAACTTCGGCTGCTTTGCTTTTGGCGCGGTCATCTCTGAACTTCCGGTGTACTCTCTACGCAGAGAAGGTACTCTCCATGCAGAGAACACGCGCAGTAGACGAGGCTAGAACTTTGAAGTTCGGTTTTCCCGAATGACACTTGTTCCAAGTTTAGTAAAACTTTGGTGGGTTTAAAAATACACAATTTTAACAGATTAAAATATGTTGAACAAACAAACTCCGTTTTTTACTGTATTTAAATTTTATTTATTTTGATGCGCCCTTGGGACGCACTGCTATTGAAAAAATGCGTCATTACAAATCTGTGCGCGCCAATGGCGCAAAAACGCAGCCTCGAGAGATCCCTGAGAATGAGCTATTTTTAGCACGTATGCAATAAACCTGCTGCACTTTTTGCTAAATCCATGTACTATTAGCACAGAAAGGTGGCCCAACCTAATCCATAATCAAGAATAGCTGAAACAGCACACACAGAAACACAAAGAAACTATATACATTCAACCAAAAAAGTTAGGATTCATGAAATTGTTTTCAATAATTAAAATACTATGTAATATTGTAGGAAAATCCTCGGTGTATATAAAAAATTAACAAATATTGGTTGCATTATCCATCAATATATGGTTAAAATATTGAGCTTATAAGGTTATCTTATAAGTTATAATTATTCAAAGTAACAATGTTTCCAAACTTTTTTGGTTGAGCATATATCATACTTACTTTCACTTTCCCCAGGAATCTGTCCAGTAGATTGACAGCCAAAGCCAGAGTTTCAGGACTAAAGTCATAGAACTTATGCAGACAGCGCAGTCTGTTCACAGAAGAGTCACGCTGGGATGGACTGACCCTCTTCAACTGGATGACATATGAGTAAAGGTATGTACAGTAACTATAAATGTATTGCAATGTCCCAAAGTCAAAACAAAACCAATCAAGTTAATTTTCTCTCTAAATTCAAAATTAATGCAACATTTGGCAGATTAACTAATTCTAAAGGTACTATATATATATATATATATATATATATATATATATATATATATATATAAAACTCTTCATTTGAGATCTATATTTCACAATATAAACATTGTGAACAACTCATAGAAATATAATATATTCTGTTGTACAAGAAAAACAGCATTTATAGCTATAATTCTGATATCTGAGCTTGTCTTTAGACCACATGATCTCCATTGATGGCTATACTCTGTTATAATCTCTTAAGAGATTATAACAAAAAAACAAACTTTTTAGAAAAAAAACCAGGGACTAACTTTGAATGTAAAAATTCATTCACCATTCATTTACCATTATTCTTTTACCATTGGTAAGTACGGAAATTGTTGTTTACTCCAGGAAAATTCATTTTTTGGCCAAAACTTAAGAGTTATTATCCCTTTAACTGCTTTCATATCTGGTAGTTGAATCAAGTCTGCCAAATACACGAGCTCGTATCTAGTCAGTGCAGCAGGTTATCAAAAAGCCTGATATACTCTTTACAACAGTTCAAGCATGCATGTAATTAGTACAACTGTCACTTTCTTATTAAGCCAGGGGGGGGGGGGGGGAATAACCTAAATTGCTCCTGTAAATCATTGTTACTTTATTCACTAATAAATTAGCAATAATAATTAAGTTATGGGATAATATGAAATATTATTAATTTATATTGCCTTCATTTTAGTCAACCAACATTACACGAACTGATATGCTATAGCAGGTTACTGTTTATGTTAACATATATATATATATATATATATATATATATCAATCCAGCCATAGTATCCCGATGGGTCTGGAAACTCTCTATTGCTTGTTATATGCCACATATATGTAGTTTATCTTTTAAAAAACTTTTTAACAGTGACTGAGGTCAGATGCATAGACATTTTATATTTGTACTGCCTAAGCAGGAAAAGGAGAATGGAAAGCAAGGCTTATCACTTACACCATCTCCTGTCTCTAAAACCTTTGCTTTGTATTTCACTGCCAAAGACAATGCTTTCTGCAGCTGTTCCCACAATTCCATCCTCTTTGATGTGATCATAGTCTTCTGAAATACAACAAAAGCACATTGTCATTTTTAATGAAAAGTGCCGTCTGATCACAGTTATCAATATTTATATCTTCCATCACGTTTGACAAATTAAAGTTTACTGTAAAATTGGAATTCCCATGCTATCTAACACAAAAACAACAGGTCTTCCAGTATCTCAATGATAAAATCAACAATATCGAATGCATTGGACAAAAACACTTTTAAGCATCTGAGAAAACATGAACTTGCCTTCACTTTCTGTGCAAGATTTTGCGGTCTCGCCTCTGCTGGACATTCCTGCTGCATCCTCTCCTCTGTCAATTTCTCGCTCATTTCCAATGAAATCGGGCCCATACCTCTCCTCCAACACTCCCCGCTGGCTCACTACCAACTTTTCTAATCAGTATTTCATGTTCATTTTAGGCCGTGCTACAAAAATATACGTTGTAAATTAAAAAGGTGCCTCATCAGCTGATGTGATTGTGAAGTCTACGTTTGAAGAGTCCGCCTAAAGTTAATCCCTATCGACGCCTTCCTATTGGTTACTTCATGGCCTGCTTTATTTTTAGGTTACGCTATTGGGCTGTGGTCCACCGCAAACAAATTTCCAAATCTCCCTTATACCCAACATCAAAAACTTAAATAAAATAGAACTATATAACCTTCTTCTTATTTTAATATCGCTTGAATTCCATACTGTAATGCTTACCCGTTAACGATTAATTAGACGTCAAAAATTCCCCCTTTGACAGCTGGGTCGACCTTTCACCACCGCATCACATCTTTCAGCCTACACCGGGGCACTTATCAAAAAATAAGTCGTAGATTACTCAGTCTGCATTTAAATATACCCCAGTAAATATAAAATTTTTATTATTGTTATTTTATAGTGTTGTGAAATAAAAGATATACTTTGATCAAATTTCTCCTTCTTTTATCTTTATAATGAAAACGACCTTTTTGAGCGGAAGAATCTATTCAACAGCTGGCGACGCAACTTACGACGCCATTTTGTAAACACTTCCCATCACGAAAATTACCCCTTTAAAATTTCCCTACCATTTTGGAGGTTTTACAGGGAAAAGTCAAACATGGAAGCGACTAGATTGTAAAAAGTGACTGAAGACGCGTTTATGGCAAACTTAGTCGCCATTTTCCTTAATAGAGACCGTTTGAACGGGGAGGTAAGTAATACTAGTTTAACTAAGCAAGTTTGACAGGTTATAACTAAGTAGGTCAGAAATGACATTTCTCGACTTCTCTCTTTCTGTTTATGGTTATTCGATGTCTTTTTAATGACGAAAGAATGGTTATCTTTAAAATCATTTTGGATACTTTTGCAATATTCCCCCAACTGGTGAGAGTCTGTGGTTTTGATTTTCAGTGTTCATATAT